CCACTGATTCCTTCTTCATTGTTGCTCATGCTATATGTTGTATCTCGACACTGAATACTCGTGCCCACAAGCTTCACCATTGATTTCATCTTTCTAGCAGTTTCCTTATCTGCAGCTGAAGATGATAACCTTTGAACACCCATCCAAGACTTATCATCACCAGCCAGCCCATGTTCAACACCGTTTTTCCTCTTGTTCTGGTTCAACATTTGTGCAGTTGTTAGCTTATCCTCTTCAACGTAATTCTCTGCTTCCACCATATGACATTTGGCAGGAGAACTAGGAAGTACCAAGGCATGGTTATCTTCCTTGCTTCCCCAGAAAAACCCGTGGCAATCTGGTGGGATTTCTTAAATGTTGCTTCTTCAATACGCCCTTGATTATCTCTTCCCTGGCCAACATCAACCAGTTCCACCACTGTAAATATTGTGTGGTGACATCTGACTCAGAGAGTCTGGATGGTATATAAACCATGGCATCTCGAATCGGCCTATTATAATTGCTCCAAGCCAGTTCAGGGGCCATGTTGAATCGAAGGACAGAGCCAGGAAGTCCTTGATCAATCCCAAATTGCATTGAAACTCGATGTGGGAGATACTGTTCTATACAGCCAATTTCAACAAATTCAGAAACTCTCAAGCATCGAGCAAAATGACTCTACTTGTATGTCCATACCAGATTCAACCAAGACAGAGTCCTCATTTTCACTGTAAAACTTACTAAACTCCCAATTGTTCACAACAGTGGCATAAGGCCGCCACAGGAAACATTCCTCAGCAGAATCTATGGCCTTCCTCACGTCTTCAACTCTCAACTTCTGCAGTCTGTGCCACCGAGACGATCTGGGCTCACCCCATTTGAAGGCATTGGGTGAGGACTCAAATTAGGAAACCTTTCCCATGCCCAAAGCTGTAGTAATTGACATGGAGCCCAGAGACTGACTCTTAAACCACCATTAATCAATGACTTTTTCAGCAGAGTCAAGTCTCTATAAATGCTCGCAAGAACTGCTGGAGCAATGGTGATTGGAGTCCCTCTAGAAAGTTGAACTGCAGTGGGGACAAATTTCATTTCTATGGTGTCGTAATTTAAAGTGAAGACATACCTCGACAGCCAAAGAGCAAGAAATGCTTCGTGCTCAAATGGATCACCACTACCCATGAAATGATTCATCCATGAATAGTGGCCAGCGACCCCATGATGTTCATTTCTGATATTTTTATGAGCTTTGATCAGATTTTGATGAACTTGGATCAAGTCTTATATAGTAAAGAGGGCTAAAAACAGGGTCACCCAAGACAGAGTAACCTCCCAAAACCACCATATCTTCCAATGAAACAGTTGCTTCACCCCAAGGAAAGATGAATGTATTGGTCTCAATACACCACCTTTCTGCAAGTGCAATGACCAAATCGTTGTGTCGGAGGGTTTGGTACGTAGAAGCCAAGATTGCTTCATATATGCCAGCTTTCTTCCATGTCTGTTGGTACAGAGGTTTCAACTGATCAACCCATGTTTGCCATCCCTTTTGTGGGTATCTCCTACATTTGAACAAGACCTTTAATGGGGTTTTATTGGTTTCGGGAATGGTGGGTTTGGAGGAAAGAGGGAGTAGAGGAATATCTTTCATGGAGGTGACTGTGGGTTTGAGAAACGGGCAATTCTGAGGGTGGGTTTTCCACCTGTGGGTGAAACCATGTTCTCCTCTCTCTCCTCAAAAATGGTATCTTCTCCCGGGTCAGCCATTGTTGGGGTTCAAGCCTTCCTGGAATGGAAGGGGCTACGAGTTGATGGACGAGAATGGCAGGTACGTACTTCACATACCATATACTTTCAGAAAAAGACTACGGTAACCGAGGGCAGCCCTATCAAATTTTATAATTTTTTGAGCCGTAAATTATAAAGATTAATTTTAAAATATTATAATTAATTATTAAAGTTATAATTTTTAAAAATTAAGTTAAAACTGCTAAACTATAATTTGTATAATAAAAATTACAACTTACAAAGAGAGAAATTATAATTTATTCAAATAATTCAGAATTGATCACAAAATCGAGCATAAATTACTTCAATTAGTTATATTTTAAAAATAATAACTTTTAATATAATATCAAATGTTTTTTTTGTACGGTGGAATTATCCCACGCGTGTGAGAGAGAGAGAGAGAGAGAGAGAGGTGGGGTTAAAATGGTTGATGGGGTTTCTATTAGGACTAAGCATAAGCTTATGAACTAATGGATGAAGTCCTCCCAATTACAATCTATCATCTAATTTGATAGAGTTTGATAATTGATAGCCAGTACAAATTAATTAATTTAAAGATGATTTATTCAACTCGAGAGAAAATAAAAAAAAATATGAAAATTATGACTGATTATGGTAGACAGCTACTACTAATCCAATTATTGATTATCACGATCAAAAGGAACTGCGTTTCTGCTTTAGCATCACAGTCAACAATCATTTTTGGCAAGATATCTTTAATATAATTTTCTTTTTTATATTTTTTATTACTTGAAAGCCACCTCGATGATTTTTACATAATAATAATTAAACATTTTTGAGGGAAATTACTCACTTGCTTATAAAAGTCACATAGAAACACAAGTTACTAGACAGTGCATTTAGTTCCTGAGTGTATCATGAAATTAGTGTGAGTTGAAATTTTGGTAGTACATTCCCTAAATGCCACAACTGAACTTGTCATACAAAGCTTACTTCTTCACAGGATCTGCAAGACATTTCATTCACATTGGTAGGAAGTTGTCCCCATTGTTTCAGTACTGCAATGAGACTCGTGCTGAGAGCTCCTCCTCAATAAGTTTCTGTTTGGCGTGGCAATCCTCAGCCATCAGACCAAGCATCCACTCCATCTCGGATAACTCTCACACTTGAAACAGATGATCTGAATCAGCATTATCACCTGAACCACCAAAAAAATTATCATCGTCACCAATGCTCCCAAGCTTGCAACGATGCAAAGAATTTACCAATCAAACTTCTCACATAAGGATATTTAATAGCGTAGGACAGCCACTCATGGGACCTAAATAGTTCAGAAATCATAGTTCACACAGCCAAAGGTAACAATGATTATTCACCTGAAAGATTAGATACTTAAAGGGCAGTTCGAGTTATGGACATAATCTTCAGACAACTAGACATGGCATTTGAAATAATTAAGTGACTAGATGTTAGCTAGCTTTAGTTGTTGAATGTGGTTATACTTCAAAACTTGTTTTTTTTATTTCTTTTCCAAAACTTGAAGGTATGGTGCAATATTTGGAGAGTTCAGGGGCAATAGAAAGCAACAAGGCGACCTCTCGAGGAACATCAAAACAGTAATGTACAAAATCTTGAATAATTGCAACCTGAATGGAGTCCAAGCACTAGCATCAGAATAAACAAAGCTCTGACCTTGTGGCTGGCCCATCAGGCCTGCCCACCTGGACTTGATCACCCCATGTTGTACCACATGATTCAATCATAAATACATACCATTTGATCAGTAGATGGTAACAATTCAGACTATTAGTCAGGAAAATTGCAAGAGAAATTCAAAAGGAAGGAAGAGAGACACATGTGGGAGCCTGCTTAAGAAGTCAAGAATCACAGCATGCAGACAAAATATACAAAAACTAAAAAGATCAAGTACATCTCTATGAATATGTTGTTCTTCAGTGAAGGTCAGTCTACTTTTGACATCAAACAATTCCCCATTGAGATCCAAAGACAACTACAACTCTCCACTAAGGTATTAGATGCAAATTTCAATCAAACAGCAGTAAAATGGGAAAACATCACTGGGGGGCAATGGTCTGCAAATTTAACAGCAAGATCACTTGTATTACAGTTGAACAAAATAACATTGTTTTACAAAGGTTTTATGCAGAAGTTCAAAAAGACATGTACTTCTCAGAATTGTGTTCCCCAGGAACATTAGTCCTCTACCTTGAATATTCAGCACATGTTTAACTGGGGCACAAAACAATTTTTTCATCAGAGGGAAAGACAGTGGCAGTTAATAAATGCACTTTAAATATTATCTTATAAAATAATTTATCCCATAAAGACAGTTCTGAGCTTGCCTTTCTCAGCACTCTATGTAATACAAAGTTGTAGATAAAGAAAAGATGACAACATGTAAGTAGCAAAACTTCCTAACAACCCAAACAAAAACCCAAAAACATTCCATTAAAGTCCCTTGAATCTTACTTTCCTAAAAAAAAAATATCACTTGAATCTCTAGCAGTTAAAAAGATGAAAAATGTATTTTTATCTTAGTTACTCTTGTATCTTAAAGCAGGAAAGGCACTCAACATGCAACTACCCCAAAAGTTCCAGCCTTAAGCAACCAAGGTTTAGTATCGTAAAGATAAAAATTGCATCTGGAAGATGCCCATAACAAAATCAAACAGAAATCTGGAAGACACACAAATCCCTCAGAAGTAAGTACTCATCATGAATGAATATCAGCCCACTACTTGTATATCTCACATTCTTCACAGGGTTGAGAGACATAATTTTGAAAAATACATAAACAATAAAGAGGACACTAAAAGAACAGCAGCAAAAACTACCGGTGCCTCAAAAAAACCACGGTACTGTCCACCATACAAGGTGCATGAAAAGAAATGACATACAACCAATATGATAGCTCTTATCAGAGAGAATCAAAAAAAAAAAAAAAAAACTTAATCCCTCAGAATTGGTTATTCGTCAATGGAGATCTGTCCACTACTTTAAAATTTTATATCAATCTTCATAGGATGGAAAAGAAAAAAGAATACTATATAAAATGGAAAACTAACGAAAGAAGAAAGCATGCATGGCCAACATGGTTTGCACACATCCAGCTCACAGCTCACAGAAGAAAAGCAAATCTAACCCAAAAAAAAACAAAAACAAAACAAAACGAACAAAAACACAAATGTAATGCATTCTAGTAGAAAACTTTAAAATATAAAACATCAGCAATAAAAGAAGGATTTCATTTTAAAGTTTCCAAAAAACTACTCTTTACTGTCTAGAAGACCATGTTGAACAAATCTATCATCCAGATTGCTTAAAAAAAACTGCCATTGTACACATAGAAATACAAGACAGACATAATTTACAAAATCTTAAGACAAAATCAACACCTTTGACAAGTGAATTTGGGTAGTTTTAGAACCAAAAAAGGATTCAGGTCCTAGCCTAACTTGACATGGGTCTATTGATGTTCTGGTCTCTGAAAAATAATCCTTCACTCAACTCAATTTAAGAAAACATTAATTCGCACTTTAGGGTCGCATCCATGAATCCTCTTTGACAAACAATTCTCTCCCATAATAAAAATCATGTATAGCAAAGCAAAGCAAAGCCAACCCATAATAAAGAGCAAGACTTAAAAACAAAATCTTCAAACAGGGATTTGTCAATCATAAGCAAAGAATCTGAATTCGAAAATATCAAACATGCAAAGAACCCATTAAGAATTCTGAAACAATTACAACAAATACAAACACACAATTTAGATCTACCGACTACAAAAGTACTGGCATATCTTCCTGATTTAGGCTTTTGGTATTCGAAATTGGACAATTGGAATGAAAAATCAACAAGGCCAGTAATGGGAGTCGTGGTGGCGGAGCACAACTCACTGTGATTAAGAGAATATTTATAGGCGTAATGAATGCTGGAGAGTATAATGATTGTAGAGGTCAGTTTGGATACATGGAGAACGGTGTTCCTGGCTTGGTCAGTAACTTCCCTGCGCTAGTTAAGGATATGTAATTACTAAAACTGCTACTTGTTTTAAACGTGGATCAATATTTCGTTTTGAATGTTAAATAATGAGATCGAAATAAATCAGTGATAAAAAATTAAAACTTTAATACTTCAAAGTATTTCGAATTGTTTCAAAGTGTGTTAAGATAATTCTTCATGTTTTCACCATTGTTTGACATATTTTAAAATATTTCAAGATGTTTTTTATATTTTGAATATTAATATGGAATAATTAAAAAAGATTCATTGAAATATTTTTAAAATATTTTCATTTTCAAGGTAATAAAAAAATGCACCAAAACAATCACCAAATGCAATCACAAAAGACATAATTCCCAAATACGATCACTTAAGATTGATCTAATATTTATGTATTAAAAAAAATATACACTTTTTTTATTAGACTAATTAAAAATAAGAAAAAAAATTAAATAATATGGTGAGACGTTTGATCTTAATTTTAATAATTTAAATTTAAAAATTACTTACATATTAACATTATATTATTTACTCTAATTTTTATGAGTTTAATATGATCAATTCACAAAATACCAAAAATGAATCGCTTGTTATTTGGTAAAAATCCACATTGGCTTACCGGCCAAACTGGTAAATCATGTCAAATGCGTATGTAATGCTGATAATTGAGTCGAGTTTTGTAAATTTTATTTAGTCTTATTGATCTTATTTTTTTAAACGAATTAAAAAAATTATTTAAACTTGACTCGTAAAATAATAAATCCAAACCGAACAGAATCAAAGTTGAATCGAGCCAAATAATTCAATTATTTTATATCTAAATAAATTGAACATTTTTTAGGCCCATGTTTTTAAAATAAACCTAAAAAAATAATTCAAACTCTCGTTTAAAAAAACGAATCAAACTCAGGACAAACAGAACCCTGAGTAGTTCCCCGATACGCAAGTTTAAAAACAAAAAATGAAAAGTACGGAGATTACCGGACCTCCCGGTCACTGGTGATGCCCAACTGACTTCATAAAGCTGTCGTCGAAAAGCTTTAGTTGTTGTCTTAAGGGTGTGGACTAAGGCACCGACAGAGCAATGGGGCATGAGTTGAAGAAGCTATTAACAGCAATTTCTCTATCAGCAATCTTTTTCTTGTACAGTGCGAGTGCTTGGACTGGTGAAATTCTTGGAAGAGTTGTCTGTGATGTATGTGGGGATTCTTCCATTGGTCCTGAAGACCATGTTTTGGAAGGTCAATTCCTAACCCTTCTCTCTGTCTCTGCTTATTTTGATGCGTTTCCCGTGGATTACTTAATATTTGTGTGGGTTTTGGATATGGGTTATCGTATTTAGCCTGGAATTCTTCATTGGATGTTGATTAAAATCATGGGTTTTGGTATTTGTTGTCTTATGCCGATGACTAAAAGTGACAACAAAAAAAAAAGCAGAGTAATGGGTGGAAAAGGGTTTGTACAGTTGATGATGTGATTGATTCCCCTTCTGTTGGGTCATAATTTTGTGTAAATTCTCGTATCTAAACAAATCGGATTCAAAATATGTAGGCTCCACTTAGTCGGTGTGATTTTTCATGTGTTTGGGCAAAAATTGAGAGTTTTAGTTTGGGGACTGAGGCTATGATGTAATTTGTTAGTATAGAGATATCTACACTAATACATGATATGAACCCATGTGTAGAGCTCACTCGTGAAAACAGGCTTACAAGTGAAGGGTGTCTAAGAGTTCATGTAAACACATCTAATCTCATATTTAACCGACGGGGATTGTAGCAATACATCAATTAGTGGCACAATCAATTTCACCAGTCAGACTTCAACATCTTGGCGTTTTTCATTTTCCCAAAATATAGAGGCTTCCATCAAGTCAATATCCCTCTAGCGTCTCCAAACATCCCATATGATATAAACCCTCTATCAGTTATGCAATCCGGGTTAGATCTCTTGTTGATTCCCCTAACTGCATTGATCACAGTCTCTGGATTGTTGTATCATGGTTCAGAGATAGGGCTTTCAGGTAGTTTTTGGACATTTGTCTGCTGAAAAAACATTTTCCTTGAGTAGAACCAGTTCCCCCTGCCCATTAGAGTCATAGATGAAATTGTCTCCTAACTTCTTGCTTATTAACAATTTACTTGACTCTTCTTCCCACCCCCACCCCCACCCCCACCCCAACCACCAAGAGACGCCCTGTCTCATGATAATTGCTGCTAGGCAAGCTTATTTTGCATGCATGTACTTCTTATAAACCCCCCTGCTCTGCCTAAAACTTAGGTCATTTTAGGGATGGTCTGTGGATTGGATACATAGTAACATAGGCTCTGTGTTTGTGTGTCTTTTTCCTAGGTGATCAAACAAATCCAATTGCCCCATATCGGTAGGGATTTGCACACATCTATGCCTTGTAAGTCTCCACCATCCTCTATAAGTTAGGTTGATGTTTAGTTGTTGGACTGATAAGTTTTGTGTGTGTGCGTGTGTTTGTTAACGTGTGTGATTCTTATCTAACTGATGAAGTAAGCCAACTTATGTTACACGACCAAATAAAGGGAAATTTAAATACAAAAACTGTTATTTTCTTTGTTGATCTCATGGACTTTTCATGAGAGGAGGCATGAGATGGTCTTTTATTGACTTGGGTTTTACAATCAATTTTTGCTTCCAAGAGCTATGGAAAAGAAGTGTTCATGATTACATGTTTATCGCTCCTAAGAAAATGTTGTTACACATAGTCACAAGTTCATCATTACTTAGAATTGATGTTGTCAAGGATCACTATGTACTGTTTTTTCCTTAGTTGTTTTTGGGTTGGGTGAGTTGTCCACCATTTCTTTCTTTCTTATTAGTGCTGAATTTCTGTAAAGTTGTTTGCTTCTCATCAAGAAAAAGAACATAAAATGTTATCACATAGCTTGGTTTCTATTAACCAAGAGTATAGGTGGGTAAGACTTGGTATAAACCTAACATTTGGCATCATAATGCACATAGTGATATGTCTTATATCCCAACGCCGCAGTGGCCAAGAACATTCCACAAAAAGAGTGGCCAAGTCTAAGTCAAGAAGTACCAATATAACTTTGACATAGCAGCTTGTAATCTTGAATTAGTTTTGGTGTGAATGAAGCATGGTTTGGGTTGTCTGAGTGCAGGTGCTGAGGTTGCTGTTCTTTGCATAACAAAATCTGGGGAAGTTCTAAATTATCAGGCATTCACAAACTCTAAGGGCATCTACACAGTGGCAGAGACAATGCCAGAGAGTGATCGCTGGGATGCATGCCTGGCAAGACCTATTAGCAGCTTTCATGAACACTGCACCCATCTCGGTGATGGCAGCTCGGGCATCAAGTTCAGTTACAAGCATCCATCGGGCTATTCTTATGCTGTCAGACCTTTTGTGTATCGTCCTGCTAATATTCCAATGTATTGCCTTTGAATATGATGCACCTATTCAGGCCCCAAAATATCTAGATAATTAATTATTTATAAATAAAAGGTTGGTGCCCAATGTGTAATATGATAAAATGCTCATCCATGCTTATGTTACTTGCGTGAGATGTGTGGAGAAATCAGGTACATTTGTTGTAAATTAAACCTTTCCAGTTCCAAATTGCATGTATAAACTGTACAAAATTGTCTGTGCCTAAGCTTGTATGAGTTATCACGTCACTTTGGCCATTATAACCGTGTTTGAGTCCCACGCTTGCAAAGATGTAGTTCCTTTGGGCTTGGTATTGTCTTTATAAGTTTTGGCTAGAATTGCAAATGAACCGAGCTGCTATTCGTGATCAGTTCAAGTATGAATTGAATTAAAGTTCATTCATTGTTAAAACAAAGTGAGCTCGAGTTCAAATTTAAAACTCAGCTAAGCTTGATTGACTTATTCTCTAGGTTTCATGCATATGTAAAGGATATGACTTTGAACCCAAATCTAAGGTTTATGAACCGGACTTTTTATAATGGGTCTTTTTTTTTATTTTTGAGGTTGGCGCATTAGTTTGACCGCAAATGAGTTTTTTTGACATTGACCAATCTCAAAATTCGTAATCTTACAAATTTTTTTTAATATGTGTATATTATCATGTATAAATAATGTCTCAAATAATTTTAAATCTCATTTTGCACTCCGAAAGATTGTTCGAATCTTAATTTACACCCTTAAAGATCAAAAATCTCAATTTACACCCTCAAAGATAGAAATTTGTATCAATGTGCACCCTCAAAGATTAAAAATCTCAATTTGCACCCTCAAATATAGAAATTTATATCAATGTGTACCCCAAAGATAAAAAATCTCAAAGATAGAATTTTGTATCAATGTGCACCTAAAATTAAATTGATAAATTATACCTAAATCCCCTTATATTTGTCAGTTAATCATTTAGACCTCTTCACATTTAGAATATTACTCCTACATCTTATGACATTTGTGCACGTATAACACGTAACTCATTTTCATTGATATCTATTAATATAACCGTTAAAAAATATAATTTTATCCTAATAAAAATTTATAATTTCATATTACCCTTTATTTTATAGGTTCAATATACTATAAAATTCAAAATCTAGTTTACCATTTAAATGTCTAATAAAATATAAATATTTATATAATATTTTACATATTACTTTTTATATAAATATCTACATTTTATTAGACATTCAAATGGTAAGCTTGATTTTCAATTTTAGAGTATATCGAATCCACAAAATAAAAGGTAATATAAAATTATAATTTTATATTAGGATAAAATCATATTTTTTAACGATTATATTAATATATAATCAATGAAAAGTGGTTATGTATTACACATGCATAAACATCATGAGATGTAAGGGAAATATTCTAAATGTGAAGGAGTTCAAATGATTAAGTGACAAACATGAGGGGATCAAGGTATAATTTATTAATTTAATTTTAGGTGCACATTGATACAAATTTCTATCTTTGAAGGTGCAAATTGAGATTTTTTATCTTTGGGGATGCACATTGATACAAATTTCTATTTTTGAGGGTGTAAATTGAGATTTTTGATCTTTGGGGGTGCACATTGATACAAATTTTTATCTTTGAGGGTGTAAATTGAAATTTTTGATCTTTGAGGGTACAAATTGAGATTCGAACAATCTTTCAAGGTATAAAATGAGATTAACCCTAAAAATTATATTAAATTATAAATTAATTAAATATACGATAGAAATGAACGATGTGATATTTTTAGGAAAAACTATGTAAGCGATAAAAATTCAAGTTACAGTTTTTTAGTATATAAATTTGTAATTATTATTCATAAAAATAAAATAATAAAATTTAAAACTTTAATTTAGAAATATATATATATATATATATATAATATTAATCCTCCCCATAAAAGGATAAAGTCTCAAAAGTTGACTTGTCAAGTTCGGTGGTCCGCCAGACCAGGGAAAGAGGGAAGTCCCGCGAATAACGTTATTCTCCTTCTCCTTTGCCATCCCCATCTCTCTCCTCTTCTTTACAGGGAGAAAATCCAAACGAGATTTGCGTTGCGGTACGATCAGGAGCTGCTTGGGCCCTTGTCAATCATGATACAGCTTGCAAAACAATTACGAAAAGCTTTCGGGGCTTCATTTCTATGGCTTGTCTGCTTGATTTATTTTACTCAGGTTTTTACATTACCTCTATGATCTTATTATCGTTATTGATTTCTTGATTGGAATATATTTCCACTTTTCCTTGTTGATCTTGCTGAATATTGATTGTCTTCGAAGAATTTGAGTTGTTTGTAGTTGGGGTTCTAACGTTTCTGAGACGGATAGATCTGTGAATCCTTATTTTGAAATTCTACGTTTTGTCACATTCGGGCTTAAACTTTATATAAATCATGTGTTTGTAGGAATTTCGTTTTCAATTAGATGCTACGCACAGTTTATACACCTAATCTAGCTAATTAAGTTATGAAAATATTATGGCTGCAGAATGGTAAATGAAATAATCTAGTCCAAAACCTTATCCCCTGACATTTCTAGTGCAACTGCATCTGCTGATCTAATTCCAACCTTTTGTTAGATTTCCCACAGGCCATGCTATTGCCGAATTTACTGACATGTATCATTTTTAGTTTTCTTCTCTTGTTTATATTAGTTTCCACTCTTTAACGTGCTTAAACACTTTTTCTTTAACGGCTTGATATTGCATTATATACACCAGCATTGAAAATACTCTTCATGAAGATATAATAGGCCTATCATGGCTCTGCCAAGTTGAGAAAACAAATCTATTAAGGAGGTTTCATGGAGTTGATTAATTTCAACATTAAATTCTGGATACACAGAGTAAAAAGTGGTTGCATCTGAATTGTTCTTCTTCTTGTACTTTTGTGTAGGACATATCATGTATGACATAGAGTATACATTATCACCTCTTAGGGTATCTCAAACAAAAATTTCATTATCTTGGCTTATTAATAATGACCGTTAGCGCTGGGAGAAAAAAAGGCGCATTAACCATAAAACTGAAAAAGAAGGATGAACTGACAAGGTGGTATTGAAGTGTTGTGTAATCATGAGCAATCTAAGAACAAGTTGAGGGAAAAACTTGTGGGAGTATCAAGTTGGCTGCATTCTATGGTATGAGATACTTTCTTATGTGTAATTACCAACTTAAAAAATGAGAGTAGTTAGAATGAGGATATGTCTATGGATGGATTGCTACCTAATTAAATCACGGATGGGCCAAGAAATTGTTGCCCTATGAGAAGTTAAGATAACACCAATGGAGGAGAAGAGGTGGAGAAGTCATCCAAAATGCTGTAGTCATTTCTTTTAAAGACCAATGGGTGTTGCAGAGAGGCGTAAATGAGTTGAAGCCTCGAAGTTAAGTGTGGGTTACACATAAGGTAGCATAATGTAACGAGGAAGTATAAGGGAACATGTGGGTTAATCATACTGGTCTATCACTTGGTGAACAACAGATAGGGTTCTGCCATAGAATAGAATTCTTTTAGTATCAAAGTTACAAATGTCAAAATTCCGATATCACCTTGAACCTCTTTCAAGGTTATTTGTGGCATTTGGTTGCTTCCCTGCTTCTTCTTTATTCCTTTCTAATTTTTTTTGTGGATGTTGTTACTCTATTTACTTACCTTTCCCTGATGACTTTGTTTGATCAGGGTTTTAGATCTTTTGTATGGACAGCAGTTTCATATCAGCTGAAAGACAATCTAAAGTTGTCGCCCTCAGCCTCCCAGTTTGTGTCATCAATAGCATTTTTCCCATGGAGCATAAAACCGTTATATGGGTATGCATCTAACTTGTACTCATTCTGTATGCACTGCTCAGATCGAAATATAACTGTTTAGTTCAGAAAAATAATGGATCCTTAGGCATTCAAGTCTGCTTGAATCACATCTTTTGGCTATTAATGTATACTATTTTATGTTTGTGGTTAAAGGGAAAAAAGGAAGGAAAAAGACAGAAAAAAATGTGAATATGGACATCATTCTATGGAAATGATAGAATCTCATCTTTTTTAATCCAAAGTATTTTGAGACGCACACTATCCTTTTAATGAATCTACTATGTGCATTAAATATGGTGGTTGCAGGAGTTTTCATTCAGTGTGTACAATGATGAGTTATAGGATAGCTGTTTTTTTGTTAGAATTCCAAAAACATTATGCATGGAATTTTGGTGTATAAAGATATGGAGTTATTTCATATCAATTAGAAAATTAACCATGGAACCACAAATTTCAAGAATTCCAGGAGGCATGATTAGGTTGTTAAATAATTTGGGGCTCTGTTGACAGTAGATTCAAGTGAGCTAAATTGTTGACAATTCAATCCTAATATTTGGTCCACTGGGGGTTCACTAGAGAAGTTTTTGGTGGCAAATTGGTCATTTAATATGATTATTCGCTCTCTTGGAATCTGAATGTGCATCTCATTCACAGAATCTTGTCAGATTGTATCCCAATTAGAGGAAGAAAAAGGATTCCATACTTGATGATTGCAACTCTACTCTCTCTCTTCCCATGGGTCCTTTTAGGCCTCACTGCATCCTCAAGGAATTCCAAAGTGCAGCTTATGACTTTATTGTCATTGCAGAACCTGGGCTCTGCAATGGCAGATGTTGTAATCGATGCGATGATAGCAGAGGCAGTGAGATTTGAGCGGTATGTTCATTCAATAAATGAGTTATATCATTCCACTAATATATGCATGAATTTTGAGTCACATATAGCTCAGTCTTCTGACGTAACCTGTCAACAGAATAAGATACAAAAGGCAATCAAGCCAAAGAGACTTCTTTATAATGGCCCAACTGCTTGAGCTTCTTAGAACTAGGTCAGACTTGTTTGGCTATCAAACCAACCACATGCAACCTCAAGTCTCTGGCATAATTTCTTTACAAGTCAAATTTGATCAACACATGCCTTGCAACGTTTAGGCTAACAAATTACTGCAATAGGATTTCTGTATTTATCATTTGCTAACCCTTATGGACAGATATTGGTAATTTTTTTTTTTTTTGGTTGAAGGGGGGGGGGGGGGGGATTTGAACCCTTGACTTCAAGAAGACAAAGTCTTCATAAAATAAGGAGTATCATTAACCCAAAGGCCCGTTGGTTACAGATATTGTTAATGTGGGGTGAAAAGAAAAGCAAGTTTTATATTGCTTTTCAAATACTAATTTGGATTGCTGAGGCTCGTGTGGATTTAGCCTCTGTCTCTCTCATTGTTTTATAAAAATTAAATAAATTGTCACCTGAGTATTTACAATCTCTTCTAATCAGGGCCTCATTTGCTGGCGATCTCCAGTCAATATCTTGGATGGCTATGGCCTTGGGAGGAATCGGTGGGAGTTTGCTAGGAGGATATGCATTAACTAACTTGCAGATAGATAAAATTTTTCTTCTTTTCGCTGTATTACCAAGCATGCAGCTATTATCCTGTGGTTTGGTTGAGGAGAGATCTGTAAGCAGTAAAGTTTTGCTTGAAGTTTCTACTTCAAATGGCTCCCTCGTGGAGAACACAAGTATATTGGATGAAGACAATTTCTCAGCTAAGAATTCCAAAAACAGTACTTCAAGGAGAAAGAAAAGCATGAAAAATAGCAAAAAGAAACTGGTGATCACAGATAATTTACATATCCATGAAAAACATGGATCAATGGCATCACAATGGTTCCGATCTTTTAAAATGGCCACTTATACTCTGTTTCAGGCTTTTCGTCAGCCAATCATCTTGAGGTAATTACCTATAACTGCTTCATTGGTTATTTGGCAGTTGGGGCGTCACCAGTCAATTCGTCCCTCTTTGAGTACTGTGTGTTCATCTGGACAACAGATGAATTTGATAATTGCATAATAACCAGACCTCTTAAATATTGATTGGTTGAGGTCTTGGAATGGTTTGAGAATGGAAATGCTTCCAAATGTGCTTTTTTAAGTCCTTCTGTTTAATTGTTGGACATCATATGTCTGTAATGTTCTTATTCTTTTCCACAATATTTTTCTGCTCTAATTATGATTATTTTTTATTCAATTTCTTCTTGGGAAGGCTAGACCAATGGCTTGGTTTTTCTTGGCACATGTGACTGTCCCAAACCTTTCGACCACCATGTTTTATTACCAGACAGAATTTTTGAAATTGGAAGCATCCTTTTTGGGCACAGTGCGTGTTGTCGGGTGGTTAGGCCTCATGCTTGGAACCTTCATTTATAATCGCTACCTAAAGAAAATGAAATTGCGCAGAATTCTCATGTAAGTTTACATTACACTGGTATATATTGGGCCGTTTTTCCTATTAACTTGCCAATTTGATTAGATCTACAAAATTTTATGCAGGTGGGCTAATGTTGGTTTGTCTATCTTGAGTATGTTAGATATAGTTTTAGTGTCTCGATTCAATGTTGCATTTGGCATATCAGACCAGACTATGGTGTTATGCGGGTCTGCTCTTGCAGATGCAGTCAATCAATTCAAGTATGTGCATTTTTTCTTCAGGAGTGTTCTTATATTGGTTAAGCAGTAAAAAAATAAATAAATATTGGTTAAGCAGAGCCATTCTAGTTTTAGAATACATGTGCACTTGGACTAATTTCCATGTCATTACAGGTTTATGCCATTCCTGATCTTATCAGGACAGCTTTGCCCTCCTGGAATTGAAGGCACGCTATTCGCCCTCTTCATGTCGATAAATAACTTGGGTTCTACCCTGGGATCATTTGTAGGTGCTGGTTTGGCTTCATTCCTAAACATCTCTTCAGGTTCTTATGACAACCTTCTTTTGGGCGTTGCAATTCAAGTCCTCTGCACTTTCATCCCAGTTGCTTTTCTATTTTTGATACCGAAGGAAGCTACAGGGATATCAGCATAGGTTATAGATAAGCATTCTAACTGAAAATAGATTGCAAGTTGATTGAATGAAACTGACTTCATTCTTTGTCACAGATACAAGAACTTAGGATTCTGGAGAGCTTTTATCACGGGAAAAAAAAAGAGTTAGAAATGCAAATTTGAAAATCAAAATATTATATTTGCCATTATATAGTTCCCCATTGAGTTTCGATTCGAGGAAATTTGATGTTTTTTCAACTTTGTACAACAACTCTGTAACATTGTTTTGGATGATTAATCAATACAAAAATATGGGCTGCTTTTATTTTCCTCCTTATAGCAATGTATGTTCTGTTTTAGTGATGTGAGCAAATAAATGCATCTGATTTGTAAAGGTAGAATAGAACACCATTGCGGATGATTGACTTGTTTATGTGCCCGTGGGTCTCCATGTGACGGGCTCAACCAACCAACCCATGATTCATTAGGCTTCCGGGATTTTGGGCCAACCTTTGTCGATCTTTTGGTTCCCTTTCATGTCGTGCAGAGAATATAACATATACACACACGGTTTGAAACTAACATATCTTTGAACAATTTCTGAGATGACATGTAAATACGATTTGAAATTAGCATGTTAATGTTGATTATTTGTTGACACAAATTTGTAAATGTCATGATCTATTAATAAGAATAACAAATGAGTCGTGTTAGTATCAAACATAAATAACATGAAATTGACACGATTAATACCTTTAATTAATATTATAAGAATAACATTTTTGATTTTTGTTATTTTTCCCAAGCATTGACATAATTCTTGTACAAAAAGAGGATTTTTTACTTATTTTTATTATTAAGTTAATTTTTATTCTATAAAAAAAATATGAATGTGAGTTCGATTTGGAGATTGTTTAGTATTAGATTTAACTCTTAGTGTTAAAATTTTGATTTACGAGTTATATGAGTTAACACGAATACAACATGAGAATAAATAAGTCGGGCCGACACGAACACATTTGTATTTGAATGTTTTTTTTTTTTTTTGGATATGAAACGGTGGCGTTGCATTTATTAAATCACAAAATAATCATATCACCATGGAGATAGGAGGCCAGAAAGTCTAGGTATTCCTCCCTCCATAATAACGAGTCATTAGATCGTAAAGCATAGTGAATTTGTATTTGATTGTAATTCTAATTTTGTAGAATTAAATCTAATTGCATGTTGATGAACGAAAGAGACACACTTCTATCTCATGTGACGTCCTATTTTTTTTCCGAAGTTTCCTTAAGATTTGCAAAACTCTTTTATTGCAAAATAATTGGAGGATCCTTTAATTATTTTTGAGGAGTTATCTATGCAAGCAAATATAAGATAAACGATATTTACTTGCCTTGATAGATCTAGCCAAAGTTTTTTTTTATTTATCTGAAGAGGAGGTACGATCTTGAGCCATAAATGTGTCCATACACATAGGAGTAGTCCAATGATCTTTAGTAGGGCATTTTGTTTCTTATACGTATCATTTTCTCAATTCCTATTCGATTATTTATATTATGGAGTATCTCAATTACTCGGTTGTCTCAATCATGTTTTTTGGATGGTTAAATTATACATATTGAGTTATTCACAAATCATGTTCATTGAGCAAATCGGAAAAAGATTCGAGCTTTAAACCTTAAAGTAGAAACTGAGACAGTCACTTAACGGGTAAGAAGGTAAAGAAGTAGTAGAAATGTTGAAGAGGATACAACCCGATCTTGGACGGAAGACCATGTGCGTCGCATACTCACAATCTTGAATAATTCTTTTGCGAATTATTTTGCAACATTTTAAAGATAATTATTTATTTATGAATCACTTTTTTTATGTTTTCATCTGTGTCCGAATTAAAAGGGTACCTAACCAACTCTGTTGAGGCCAGTTAATAATGGACTCCTCCCTCTTTGTCCTAAGTTTTAACGAATAACTCTTTATGAATAAAACATAGAGGCTCTGTACCTAATACAAATTGGATTCTAATCCGTACATATCCTTTTGTGCAATGATATGTATGGTATATGTGTCCATATAGGCATAAACACACACACTCACACATCCACAACTCCTCCGTCAGAAAAAGTAAAAGAATTTATGAAAGAACTATGGGAGGAGGGAGAGAAAGAGTTGGAGATAGACGGAGGGAGAGAGTAGAGGAAAAAATAGTAAAAAAAATTTAGATAGATTATTAGAAGTCTTTATTTTTAGATTTTTTAAAAAGACAGTTATTTTTTAGAACTTTGTATAAAACTTTACATAGACTTGTAAAAAATTGTTATATTTTAAGCAAAGTTATCAAATCGTGTATCGGAAGGCGTATCGTAAGATACAAATATTGTATCGTATCGTGTATCGTATCGTGTATCGTAAGATACGATGCAATTTTAAATAAATAATAAAAAAATATATATACCTTTGAAAAAAAGTCATACACTCATAAAAAATATAGCATTTCATTAATACTCCACTAACTATTCAAGTTATCAACATAATCCACTACTATTATAATGCAAAGTTCACAACCATAGTTCACTAATTCAAACTTTAAACACCAAAGAGACTTCTAATCCAAATTTCTAACATCCATTTTGAACTCAATCTTCAAATTCAATTGAAAATGCATCATCATTGTGATCGGATGCCAACAAGTCTTCACTTCCTTTATCATCTTCAACTTCTTGTATTTGTTCATCCTCATCCTTATCCACATCCTCATCTTCAAGTTGAACTATTTGTTTTCCTTTTTTCTTGTATAAAATAAGATTTCTAGGCCCTACAAAGCAACCAATACAAAATATAAAAAAAATAAAATTCAAAGTAATGGAGAAGAAGAAAAAACAACCACTACATTTTAATTACCTCTCTTTCTCTTTTTGCTAGTCCCTTCTTGAACCTCAAAACATTCACCAACATTCATCCAAGTAGTGTCCTCAGGAAGGAGTGCATCTTCTTTTTAGTGATCCACTCATCATCAGATTCCATATCTGAGAGAGAAATAGGATCATAGGAATTACCCTCTAGTATTCTCTTTTGGTGTCTTGCCTCCAATCGAAGATTGTACTTCACAAACACAAGTGCACTTAATCTTTGTTGCTCTAATCGATTTCTCCTCTTAGAGTGCACCTGGTCAAATGTACTCCAATTCCTCTCACATCCAGTGGCACTACAAGTCAAGCTAAGGACGCGGATAGCAAGTTGTTGCAACTCTGGACAACATCCTCCAAATGATTCCCACCACAAGGCTATAAAAAATTACAATAGAATACTCCATTAACTAACTTAAGCAGTTGCATTCAAATAACTAACTTAAGTTAAGTTACCACTAACCAGGTTGTTTCTTCTTCCTCATTTGGATTGCCATGTCCATTCCAAACATCAAATCAGCATTATGAAAGATATCTAATTGTTTATCAACTTTTTCTCTCATAATAGGACTTGGGCACATTCTCTGAATAGTCTGATATAGTCCCATCTTTATCTCATAGTCCGCACTACCGGTGTAATGAAACCTGAAATAATTATTTTGATTTACAATGATCATTGATCAGCATACAATATATAGATATAAAATGATATAAAAATTGAGAAAATTAAGTCTTACGCGGGATTGAGATAATAGGCAGCTGCATGAAGAGGTCTGTGCAATTGCATGTTCCATCTAGTGTCAACAATAGTCCATATGGGCTCATAGTGCTTCTTCACATTACGAAAATTCTTTTAGATTTGTTCCTTTGCCTTGTCCATTGCCTCATAAATATACCTCATGGCAGGCTTTAGATCCCCATCTACAAGCCTCAACACCTTCACCAATGGCAACACACACTTCAAGCAATACTTGATTGATCCCCAAAAATTTTGGTCAGCTAGTATAATATCCATCACTTTTACACCATCTCTCTTCTTACAATATTGACTTCTCTGCCATTCCTCAGAAGCAAACATTGCTCTAAGCCCAATTTTATTTTCAAATAAACTCCTTAAAGTTAAATATGAGGTGGCAAATCTGGTCACACAAGCTCTCACCAAATCCCTTTTCTTTGTATACTTTCTCATAAGATTTAACACCCAAGAATGTCTATAAATGTAAACTGTGATTTTCCTTGCCTTTGACATTATATCCTTGTGCAGAGGAAGGTCCCCAATATCCGTCAAAATGAGATCTAGACAATGTGCACCGCAAGGAGACCAAAACAACTTTTTCCTCTTTGCCATTAACAACTCCCCAGCTTTTACATAAGCCGATGCACTATCAGTTACAACCTGAACAACATTATCCTCACCAATCTCTTCTACCATTGAATCTAAAAGCTCAAAAAGATTATCCGCATTCTTACAAATACCTGAAGTATCAATACTTTTAAGAAACACACTTCCTCTAGGACTATTCACTAAAAAATTAGTGATAGAGCGATGTTTCCCATCAGTCCATCCATCAGACATAAGAGTACAACCCGTCCTTCTCCACTCTGCTTTATAATTTTCCATCAACCCACTATTAATCAAATTTGTTTCTTTTTCCAAAAAAGAACATCTCACCTCATGATACGATGGAGGTTTCAATCCCTTACCAAACGATGCAACATATTCTAACATTCTTACAAAATATGGATCCTTTACCAAATTAAAAGGAAGGGCATTATCATAAAAACATCTACAAATATCCAAGCATACATCTTCCCTACCCTTTTTCTTCAACATAGTATTCAAAGTAATTGTGGTGGTTGGCTGTATTTTATCAGCAGTAGTACTACCCACACTGCCACTACTTTTCGAATCCACAAGACTCATATCTTTGCTAATTGCCCTATCATCCAATAATTGCTTAAAAAATTCAGTTACTTCCTCAGGGCAATGCTTACACGCTGCTACATCTTTGCGATTACTTGCCAAATGATTTTTCATTCTTGAAATGCCTCCCCAATAGACATTTGCACAATGAATGCATTTCAATTTCAACCTTGATCCTTCTACTTTGTCACAATGTTCCCATGTGGGATCATTAGCAAGTTTTTTAGTCATTTCTATATGAAAATTGGATGCAGGTGATGCCACTGTTGCACAAAATTAAAATTAATCAAGATTCAGAAATTTTTATACAAAAAAATTTATATACATTTGGCTTTGTAAATAAATTAATATCATTACATACTGCACAGGACCAACGATCAATGGAGACTGGGAAGAAGAAGAAGAAGAAGAAGAAGAAAAAGAAGGAGTACCTGGAGAAGGAAGAAGGCAGCGATCAACACCCACAGTCGGAGACAAGCAATCACCCACAGACGAAGACCGGCAATCACCCACAGTTGGAGACCACCCACAATCGATCACCACCCAGACTCGAAGACCACCCACAGTCGAAGACCACCCACACAGTCGAACACAGTCGAAGACCACCCACACAGTCGAAGACCACCCACAGCGATCACCACCTACAACGTTCACCACCCACAGTCGATCATCACCCACCCACAGTCGATGGCTGAAGAGAAACCACAGACGTCGTCGATAGACCACCCACACAGTCGAAGACCACCCACAGCGATCACCACCTACAACAACGTTCACCACCCACAGTCGATCATCACCCACCCACAGTCGATGGCTGAAGAGAAACCACAGACGTCGTCGATAGATCACCCACACAGTCGAAGACCACCCACACAGTCGAAGACCACCCACAGCGATCACCACCTACAACAACGTTCACCACCCACAGTCGATCATCACCCACCCACAGACGTCGGTCGATGGCTGAAGAGAAACCACAGACGTCATCGATAGAGACGTCGTCGAATATGTGAGAAATCTCTGATTTTTATTTTTGTAACCCTAACCACTGAAACGACGTCGTTTCAGTGGTTATAGGGAATTAAAAAATAATAATTCAGAGCACAAAACGACGTCGTTTTAAAAAAAAAAAAAAAAAATTGCACGTATCGTGCGTTTCGTACCGATACGTATCGTATCGTAAAAACGTATCGTGTATCGGACGATACAACGCAAAAACGATACATAACTACGATCCGTATCGTTTTAGGGCTGTATCGTAACGTATCGTACGATACGTATCGCGTATCGTACGATACTAACAACTTTGATTTTAAGGTTTTCTACAAAATTTTAGATAGATTTATAAAATATATTGAACCTTTGAACTTGATCCATTTAAAAGGGCATCAGCAAAATGAAATTGAACTAAAGGTTGAAAATTAAATTGGGACCCAATAAATTTAGAGCTCTAAGTGACTATTATAATGGTCAGGCTTAGGGCCGGTCTCAGTGTGTCTGTACATCTCACAACAATTATAGTTTCTACTCATCTCTTACTGTCAAGTTTTTATTTATGGAACCAATTAAGTGAGACAAATTAATTACTGAATGACACGCAAAGATTAAAGGGTATGAAGCACGGATACTTCGTTGAGGTTAGCGTGCATGTATCGGATATTCGAGGAAACGTATAGATACACCTTTTACGTATCCAATAATAATTAAATATTAGAATACTTCACAAATATTTTTGTGGTCGGCTTAATATATAATTTTTGAGTTGAACTTTTAACATCTATTTTCGAATTCAGATATCATACTACATTAACAAAAAATTCGTATTACTTCAAAAGCACATGAGTGTTTCTTAAGTAATATCTACAATTACATGTCAAAAAGAGCATAAAACAAAGTTATTACATTATAATCTTAGCAAAAATTACTTTTAAATCTTAGATAAATATTAGTTTTGATTCATTTAATTAGTTACTTCACTTTGTAAATATACCACAACGATAAGATATATATTTTCTTGAAACTAAAAAGAATTACTAATTTTTTTTATTATATGTTAAAGAACTACCAAAATATATAAGTATTAAGTTTGTTGAAAATAATAAAAATATTTTATTATAGTTGTATCTTGACCGTACTCGTATTCTACTTTTTAAAATTTTGTCATATCTTCGTATCCGTATTCGTATTATATCGTATCTATATCCCGTATCCATATCCATGTTTCATAGATTAAAGGTAATATATGTGTTATTCTACATTTTATGTATTTTTTTAATTTATCAAAAATAATGTGTAGACCTTTAGAAAGTATTGTCATAATAAAGATGTTAAATGTTACAACGTGGTGTCACATAATTTTTTATTTTTTTTTAAAATTTAGGCATTTAATATCTGTTAAACATTACTTATTTGTTATTTCGTACTCATTCTATTTGTGTACAACTGTTTAATAATATAATTCATATGAATTGTAAATATACATAAATCATCATGACCAAATATACTTTTTTAAGCAAACAAATCCGTACATCTATTTGTCTCTCTCATCTCTTGTTTGACCTGCACTTTTCGAAATACAATCTATTTTTTCATTACTACTTTTATGTTCTTATTTATTTCGCATGTTCTTCATGAAAATTGTGGTATTATATTATCAACTATTAATATACATTCATAATTCTCTTGTTATTAAGTTATTTTACTATTTGAATTTTTTTTTTATGATCCTTAACTTATTTATGTACGCAGCAACGTTCATGTACTATTTTGTTGTGTTTTATTTTCAATGATAACAACTTCATTGAATTTTTTTTTATATTAATTAGTTTTTGTTGTGAATCCTTTATGAGAACAAATAATTTAATTAATTTGTGTTTTTGTATTTAAATGAGAACAAAATCGAGTTTGAGAGAAATATAAAATGTGTTTGATTAATTTTTATTTGTAGAAATGAGAGAGAGAGACATATTATATTTTTTTATCGAAGTGTTAACCCCTTTTTTTATTCTTTAATAAATGTGTATGTGAGAGATGAATTGCACTTTTACACCTAAATTTTAAATTTTATTTTGTAGACTTAATTGTAAGCTAAATTATAAAAGATTTATACTTTATTATTGAACTCTAAAATTTAAGGGTTTTTTTATATGTGGAGCCTAAAGCCCATACTAGCGAAATATTTTGATTATTTTTTAAATAGAGCAATGTTACGTCGATGATCTCATTTAGGGATCTAATGATGTGGTTTCAATACAACTATTGGATTAATTGTGAGTTATAATGTTAAATGGAGCCCACAATCAATTCAATAATTGTATATCATTTAGTCCCTAAATAAGGTGTCCAAATAAAGTCGAAATAGCATTTTCTATTTTAAATATAATTATTTATCTATGAATGACTTCATCTGTGTCCGAGTGGGTACCCTACAGATTTGGGACTTTAACCAACTTTGTTGAGGCCAGGTCAGCAATGAACTACTCCCTCTTTGTCCTAAATTTTAGCAAAGTCAGTTAACGAACAAATCTTTATGAAACATAACATGGAGGCTATTTGCCTAATACAAATTGAATTGTAATTCATGCATGTCCTTTTTGTGCAATGATATGTATCATATATGTGTCTATATAGGCATAAAACACAAACAGGCACACATCCAAAACTCCTCAATTTTTGAGAAAATTTCTATGGCCATGGCCAACTGCACAGACATTGAAGATGGGAGGAGGAATACCCAAAAAGAAGAGACTCAAACTAGAGGCTGGAATAAATTAAATCATGATATTCTCGTAAAAATATTTCGAAAATTAAGGGATGAACACTTGCTTGTTGATGTATCGATGGTTTGTTGTTCTTGGGAAATTGCTTGTTGGGATGTCTTGTTCTGGGAGGGTGATTGCCATCAACTGGAATTAGGATTGGGTTATAAGAAAAGGTTAGGACGTCCCATGGACTACTCGGAGATGGAGATCAGAGGGATGAGGTTGGTGAAAAATATAATGGAAGGTGATAAAGCTTATGCCACACCTATGAATAGTTGGGCTCATTCTCTTCTCTGCCTTCTCTTAGATAATGATTTTCCTGTTTCAGACAGAATTCTTCTTTACATTGCAGAGAGGTATGCTGTTTATTCTTCTCCCCCTTTCATATTTTCAGGAGTCTACATATAAATGGGTATGTGTGTGTGTCATTATATCTTCTGGTTGTTTTGTGCTTTTTTTCATCTTAAGATCTTTTCAATGACCTATGTTATGTTGAAGGGATATCTATATGATCTGATCGATTGCATAAAGCCCACAGGCCACGGGCATGGAGACCCATAAGGAACCCCCTCCTGCCAGATCAACAAAAGTTGATATCAGAACTTGTGGTTGGTCTTTGTTTTTTTTGAATCTATCCACTTCCTCCTATTTCTCTCAGGCTTTAGAATCCTCCATCTTCCTAGGGAAAAATTGGAGAAACCTTCTGGATTCTGAACCAGATTTGGAGTAGATGCTTGGGAACAGAAAACTAATTACAGCTCTATAGTAAGAGCTCAACACGGCGAACCTCTGTCAGTCCCTCTCCTTTCTTTTGGACTAGTCTTCTTTGTCTGTGATGAGATTTTTATGGACCATGGTTGCTAGATTGTTGATGCAAAAAGCCTTGGGAAATTAAGAAACAATTTCTCTTGGTACCTAACTCTAGACACTGCCCTTTTCATTCTTCTATTTATTGTTGTTAATGAGTATTGGCCCGGTGTAATTGTAATCAAGTAAAATTGCTGGCCCATATTCACATCAATAGGATTCAATTCTGACTGATCAGATAGTATCCAAAGGGGTTCCCTCTCTTCTGTCTCACACACACACTTTTTGACAGTAACTGGTTATTTGATTGCACATTTCATATTGCAGAACACCACAAATGAGAACAATTATATTCAGCAGATCTCAGAGAATAGCAAGAAGAGGCTTTTCCAGAGCGATTATCCACTGGAAACACATCCAGTATGCAATTCTTGGTCCCATTGCTGGTGGGTGCAATCAAAATATTCTCAAAGAAATGGGTAAAAACTGGAATATGCTTCAACACCTTTGCTTTCACATTGATGATTTCATGGTAGATGAGCACATCGCCATTGCCATTGGAAAGAGTTTTCCAAGACTCCAGACTCTCGAGTTCTTCCATTGCTGCATAGGTCAAGTGGGAATAGCGATTTTCGTAGGCAACTGTGGGGAACTCAGGCGTGTGAAAATTGAATGTTGTTGGTTGCTGGAAGCGGAAACCAGTAGTTCTAAAGGTGGATTGAGGAAGAAGGCAGAACCTCGAGATTTTGTTGAATGGCCTAATGATCTTGTTCAAGTTCGAGTCTTGATTGGGGATTCATATCGATAAGAGCTTCAAATTTGCATTGTATAGCAGATGCAAAAGCATCCATACAAGCAATTTGAAAGATAGTACAATAAAATCTCCAAAGAGGCACATAAGAAATCTAAGTATTGTTTTTGTAAAGTTGTGTAAGACGGGATGAGTGTAAAGTTGTGTAAGATTGGTAGGTACTTGGTTCCCTTACATTCATAATTTTCATGTTATGTCGTTATTGAATTATTTTACTATTTTTTAAAAAAAATTATATGATATTTAACTTATTTATGTATGTCACTTCAACTTACTATTTTATTGTGTTTTATTTTCTCTGATAATAATTTTATTGAATTTTTTTTGATATTAATTAATTTTCATTATGGATCCTTTATGAAAATGAATAATTTAATTAGTTAATTTTTTTATGTTTAAATGAGAACAAAATCAAATTTGAGAGAAATAGAAAATGTGAATGATTTATTTTTATTTTTAGAAGAGAAACATGCTTATTATATTTTTTTTATTGAAGTATTAACCATTTTTTTGTCCTTTAATAAGTGTGTATGTGTGAGATGGATTGCACTTTTGGACTTAAATTTTAAATTTTATTTTGTTGACTTAATCTTTTAGGAATTTTTTTTGTAAGGTAAATTATAATAAATTATACTTTATTAAACTCTAAAATTTGGGGTTTATGTTGAGCCGGCCATGGGCTTAATCTATATCTCATGGATTGATCGATTAGAAAGGCACTGATCATGGGCTTAGCCCAAAATTCTACCCGCATACCTATATATTTATGCTGCTTCAGTCTCCTTTTTCAATGCGCAGTAGTGTACAATGCTTGAGCCTTTGAGGGGTTAGAGTTTGACAAAACCACAGGTACTTCTCTCCATAGCAATTTACTGATCATAGGTTTCAGGGTTTTGCAAAAATCTGATGAGTTTCCTGAAAATATGTTATTTTTGTTTATATTCCTCTCATAATTGCCCTTTTTTTTTCTTTTTTTTTTTGGTTCTTAGAAAAATTGACTGGAAAACGAAAGAAAATTATGTAAGAAACCTGGGCTCTCATAGATTTGTTCCAAGTTGTGTCGTGTTTGCGTGCTGAATATCAAAACATGGAACTAATAAGAAATTGTGTATATATCTTTTTATGTTTCTATTGGTTGCTTTTTGTTTAGTATCTGTTCTTCAATTTCAGTTAGTTCATAGCAATTGGAAGTAATATTGTATGTTTGTATTTGTTAGCTTTTCTAATCATAATCTTTATTGGTTGTTGGTGTCAAGTTTATAATTTTTTTTTTCCGTGTAAGTGGGCTTTATATTGTTGTCTGAATGTACATAAAACAATTAGTAAACACCTAATAACCTTTGACAAGATCCTAATGCCCTAGACATTCCTTCTTATTTTTGCCTTTCTTTGCTTGAGTGTAACCTCTTATTGAAATCTGCAGAAGAAAGTAAAGTCTACTTTTCCTTTGAAATCGATTTGGCTTGACTCCACAAACACATTGTAGCAATGTGTCACCTATAACGACTTGGCCAACTTAGGTTCAAACCCCTTTGCTGCCATGGACGCAAAAGCACAAACTGATTTCATTGTAGTTCTTTGAGTGAATGGATGAAGTGGTCCTTTCTATTTGAATTGATGATATGATAGTTGGCTGAAATTTTGTATGACTTTCTTACTGAATTCTGTTTGAGTTTATTTTTCTTGACATGAGTTTTGCCATGTTTATTTCATCTTGTTATGGTGGGCAGACAATTTTATGGAAGAGAAGGGGCAATGCCCACCACCAACATGTGAGGCACACACAGTGACCTCTATAAACAGGGCACAAGAAGTAAGCAGCAACTTGGCAGTGGAAATTCCCTTGGAGGATAGAAAATGGAAGGATTTAGATTGTAATATTCTTAAGATAATATTTGATCAACTGCATGTCTATGACTTGTTTGCAAGTGTCTCTTCGGTTTGCCTTTCATGGAAATCCACCTGTTGGGACTTATTGTTCTGGAGTAATAGTATGCTTGAATTGAGTTCTGCTGCAGTCTACCTTCACAATTTCAATTTCATGGACATAAAATCAATGGAAGCGACTGTATTATTACTCACCGAATCCTTTGGCAACTATAGTCAATTGGTAGAAGATGATTTGAAAGATGTGCAATTGATGAAGTTTTTGAAGAGTTTAATGGAGGGTAAGGATGCATATGGCAATTCATTGGAAAATTGGAGGCAGTCAATCCAGACTATCCTTATTCCTTCCGATCTTGAAATCACAGACCAACATCTTCTTTACATTTCAGAGAGGTAAGCTGGTGTACTAAATTCCTTTATTCCAAGATAAATCACTTTAGACAACCCTTTCAGTTTCTTTTACTTCCGTCATTAGTATCTAGACACCCCCTTGGTGTTATTTTAATTCTCCCTTTCTGCATCTTTCATATAACAGACCCCCTGGTCTCAAGTCTCTATTCCTAGAAGGAGCATCTAAGATAACAGCAAAAGGGTTTGCAGAGGCAATCCGTAGTTGGAAGTACCTTGATGTTATACACCTAGGTGAATTTGATGACCAGCACTACACTCAAATTATTGAAGAGATAGGAATAAATTGCAAAGGACTTGAAGAACTTCACATATCCAAGGTAACTCTTAGCGAGGATATTGCACATGTGCTAGCTAAAAGTTTGCAGAACGTGAAGAAACTGAGGTTTGAAGCTGCTTGGCTATTCCTTAGTGCATTAAAGACTGTCCAGGAAAGATGCCTTCAGCTGGAAGAGATGCACATCAGTAAGTGCACCTATCCCTGTAGGCTACGCCCAGATTTTACAATTTGGTTGGGGCCTATTAGTTTTAGTTTAATAAGGAATGTAGGGATTGGCGACCAGCGGTGCTGGACTATGGAAAAATTTACCGACTTTTAGAGTTTCAAGCAATGAATTGGTATGTCTGGACACTGCATTATAATCTCCATAACTAGGCTCTCTTATTATCATCATTGTTGTTTTGTGGGATTGCAGTCTGCTGAAGACATTTAAAAAAGACTTCAATTTGTAAACACTTCTATCAATAAATTGTACAATCTATCAAGGAAAATAAAACGAAAGGAAAAATTAGATCAGTGCATTGTAGTTTGAGAACAAGATGTTTGGGTATCTTCGGTCCAGTCGGAGTTGGGTTCACTCCAGGACCGGGGTCTAACCCCAAGCTTGAAAAACAAGATCATCTCCAATGCCTCAAAAACCTTTTGCTTATCCAAAAATGCATTCCATACTCCACTCACTATGCAGTAATTGTTGTTATAAGGTGGACGATGGTGTGCTGCGTGCTGAGAGCGCGATACGAGTATACCAGCTTCTTGCAGTGCCACCACCAGTGGAGGGAGCTTGCTCTTTGTACCATGAGCCCAGGCATGGAACTGCTGGCTAAACATAATGCAGCCAGAGTAAACACCAACGAACCCGTGCAAGACTGGATCATTGAAGATAAGTTCTATGGGAAGGACAGTGAAGGTTATGGCGCGCGCAAGGGCATGTATGTTGTTGGCAAATTGCCGCCTTGTGATTGTCCATGGCCACTGGTGGTGACCTTGGAATGCTGCTATTTGGGATCCAAACATTGGAGTTTCAGCACCACCGTAATTATCGATGCCCCAATGGTAGACACCAGAGCCAAGGTCTGCGAGTATGTATCCAACCAAGCCGGAGAAAATAGGCTCTAACCACATATGTGAGTCGGCGGCACCTGATATGGATTTTGCTAGGGAGATGATCACAGTGGTGCACCCACTTGCCACCCATACACGATGAGACCATGTGGATTCCAAAGTTGGGTCATTGAGCACAATGCGGTTACTAAGGGCGGTATTTGCAGCCGTGACAAGGGTGGGTGGTGGGTGTATGACTAGGGACTTTGTTGTCATGTTTGTTTTGGTGGTCGTGGTGGTTGAGCAATGGACTCGGGTGGTGAGGGAAAGATGGCGGTGGCGCCGGCGAGCATGGTGTGGGGACCTTAGAGGGTAGTGGTGGTGGGGTAAGATGTACATTGAGCCAAACAATGGTAGCCAAAGCTCATAGAAATGAGCATATGGAAACAAGAGAAGCTATATGTGTAAAAAGAAATAGTGGTTGTTGAGGTCCTCTTGGAAGTTTTGTGGTGGGCATCTTATTAGAGGGAAAAGAAATGGCAATTGGCTTTGGTGTGATAGTGGTGCTAAGGAAGGATGCGTGGGGCTTTGGAGGTCGCTAAAAGCCTTTGTGAATTTGTGTCACACACTTGAACTTCTAGGTTATCCTACATGTTTGAATAGAGGAACCTTTTTGGGTCCAGTGGTGTCTAGCGTGTTCAATTGATATATGATCAATTGATTCCTTTTTTTTTTGTTTTGTTCTACAGTTTGTGATTTTTGAGCTACCTCATATACATCTCGATTAATCTTTTTTCGATCTGGTCAAAGACAGGACCAGGATATTCACGAGGGATTTATCCCTCATGACATAGCCTTAAGGAGTTGTTAAGATTAAAATTTAAAACGTCTGAATTTACAGCTCGTCTCTATTGTCACTTGAGCTATCCCTTTGGGTTTTAATAAATTGAAAAAAAAAACGCGTATATTACAAGATGCATAGTTGTCATTTTTCTTTTGTGAAAACAGGTGACATCTTGCATTAAAATTGCTTATGCCAATTGTTAATTTGACAAAATCAAAATTAGACAATATAGACATCTTTTTTTTTATTTTTTATTTTAATTTTTTGAAGAGGAGGAGGGGGATTTAAAATTTTTACTTTAAAAAGACAAAATTTTTACAAGATAAAGAATATTATTTGACCAAAAATTCATTAATATCTTCCCATCAACGGTCACACTGGTTTGTTCAGATAGGTCCCTTCCAATTTCTCCTTTGTTTTAACCGTAACTTTTCAAATTTCGTCTTTTCAAATTTCAAGATAATCGTTTTAGTCCATCTACTACAAAAAATTATAACTAATCTTGAATTTAAACAGGCTATATCAACTCGATGTACATCAAATTTTATTTAAATGAATGTTATTTGATAATTCTCTTTAACTAACTTATTCATTGGACAAGTAACGTTAATTGTCAATTAACTAAAAATATAAAATTTGCCCCAAACAATATCAATTCCTTAATGAAGAAGATTTTCACCAAACAAGATGCAACTATTACTTTGAATATTCCTAGTGGCATTTTGCTCAGCATCAAGATGGATGCTGGAATATTCCTTATAACATTCCATTTGATTTTACATTGCTTCTACCCACCTCTTTCTTGGTCCCAAGCTAGGTTTTCAATCATTTAGAACCGTTCATCCTCTTCTTTCTATTTCTATTTCTATTTCTATTGTGTCTTTCTATGATGGATTAGGGTCCTCTAACCCAGCTTATTCACTGTTATAGGTAACTCTGATTAGTTTATTTTATTCTTCTGTAGTCAAACAAAGATTAATTAAGGGTAATGATCACGGCATCGGGCCCACCTGCCTCTATCCGTCAGGCTAGGGCTTGCCTGTCTAGTCAATTTTTTAGTTAAGAGTATCAATTGTGTCGTGTTAAACGGATACGAATCCAGTCTAATCGGGTTTGTGTGAAAAATTAGTAAATTCATACACGACTCGTTTAAGTAAAAGTGTGAAAATTTTTAAACCAAACACAATTTATTTATTAAGCGAGTAATACGATACAACTCGTTATGATAAACAAATCGGGTTGAATCGGTTTAACACAATAATCTTTTTAGCTTGTCACCCCGTTTAACCTGTGTTGATTAATCATATCATATCGAATTTTGAAATGCCTAATTTTAATGTAACTATCTTTTTTTACATCTTTTGATAAAGATATGGTGGAGCCAGAAAAGACAGCCCACAGCTCTATTCATTGGGTAACATCATTTCATGGCCACTACATGATGGACTGGCCAACCCATAGCCCGGTGGGCCAGCCAACCTTTTGTGAATATATGAACATTTGGGTCATTTGCCAACTAGTAGAAAACATATACGTGTCAAAGATTTCCATTGCGTGTCTGTTTTTCAAACTCTCTCCTCTTTTGACTTAAAATGATAGAAACGACGACAGCACTACAATATCGTGCCCAATCTTGTTATATTAGTAGTAAATCTTATTGAATTGTTTGTCATCGTTGATTACAAAAATCTATAATATAAAATAGGATAAATTTCAATAAATTTATCTGATGATCTCAAATAAATTTATTCAACGACCACCAACATTTTTATCGAAATCATTCACACGGGTTACCCTTAGTAATAAAATAAAATATAAAACAATTACACATTTTTTTATTTTAATTGATAAAAAATAAGAGATATGTACCACCTTTTTTTTTAGGTAACAAAAATCTTTGAATTATTATCGACGAATAGAGTTGCGCTTATATCACTTATGCTCATGCATTCGAATAGAATTAAAGGCAAAGTACAAGTGTATGAATCGGTTTTTTAATCTATATATTAGCTAAATTAAGACTTGCACTTCGTTAGGGATTCGATTTCATATCAAAAATTTAGATACAATTCGTTCAAACAATTGAAATTCGTCCTACCAACAAATCATGTTTTTGTCACCCGAAAGACTTGAACTCTTAATATAGGCAAAGTCGTCGGTGCTACCACCTTCTTTACGCCCACGTTGCTTTGGAGTGTACAACTCCAATGCTGTATAATTGCAGGCTGTTTGTTTGATGACTCAAGTTTATACCTTTTCAATACTTTATTCAATGGGTGCACACAAAAACAGTCTGGCAGGGCTTCATATTTTAGTACAATCACAAGATATATTTCCAATTAAATTGACTAAATCACCACAAATCATAAGCAATTGACTCCATATTTTGGGTTTACTTATAATGATTGAGATTCTGTAATGCATCAAAATTTAAGTGTTTGTAATTACTGCATTAATCATCCATCAACTTGCATAATGCTTCTAGATACCGTATAATTTGATATCACGCCGTTATATCCCATTTATTGGGATCCATAACTCAACAAAGTTTGGACAAAATCTCATTTATACGGGGAGCTCTACCAAAAATGCAACTTGTGTAATCATATAACATTGACCAAACTGGGTTCATTCATCCATACTCAATTGCATAGTTTTGAATATTACCATAATCATCATCACTACGTACATTCATTCATAAAAAAAATAAATATCTCAAAAAGAGTTATATGTATGTGCCTTTTAAATATAAATAAATTTTTGTATTAAAAATTATACAAAACCAGAAATAAACATATATGAAGGGATTACAACGTCAAAATAAAAGTTACAGTCCAGCTCTATCATCAAAGCAAACCAATAGGAGGGTCTTCGGTAAAAGCCTGTGGTGTACCGAAAAATTGTTCCCATTTAGGGTGAGTCAACGCTCAATATGGTAACTCCTATAGAGAATACCTCTTAACCCAAATACATATGAAATATCACATGCAACAATCATTTCAGACATATATAAATAAATATCATAAATCATGTCATGTCATGAGATGAAATGAGATAAGACTCACGCAAGCAAAACTAACACCAAACCCCATCTTAGGCTCACACATGCAATGTCATGCGTAAGTATCCAGGTATTTCAAGCCCTTGTTATTAGTGCTATGTACACTCAATAACTAATTAAATTTTTTTTTTGTGTCTTTTGTGAAGAGATGATTTATGGTATTTCACTAATGAGACATCACATCATCAATGAATTTTTAGGACATCCCACTTGCGGCTCCATTTTTGCCGTTACACTTTTATAGAATTACATTGTTATAAAGTGTATAAATTAAGTAAGCGAGTCTTGCACTCGATGAAGAATCTAACCCTTCTTGTTATACTCCGACACGTTTATCTATTTAGTTTTTCGTGCGACTCAGCTGGACCTTGATGCGATTTTTTCGGGCCCACAATCAACCACTTATGTGGTGATTGGTTTCACACTATACACACACTATCACCCATGTCAAACACCCATGAATACAGTGCAACTCTTGCATAAATGCAATACAATGTTTATTACATAATTAGTACAATATAATAATATTTTCAACACAATCACAATCATGTTACGTAAGATTACCAACTCAACTAACATACTTGTATTCACCTAAGCAGTTAAATAAACACCTAGAGAACACATCAATTTAAACAACTAGTATGTTTATTACTTCCAACATGACAACATATTTATTAATTCTATAAATATAAGCACAAATCCACCACACTAATTATATGCATTTAATATACATATTATTTCATAATTACATAACAAACTAATAATTTTATTAAACTTAATATGTCATTAAAACATCAAGTCATGCTAATATACAATTAACATACTTTAAACCGCTAATATTAATTTACACCAAGTTAATTATAATAAGATTTTACTAATTATAAGGTTAATTATAAATTCTATATTTGACGCACTAGTTACATTAGTCAAAATCTAATATGTGATATACACCCTTACCTTATCCATTTCATATATCATATTTTAGGTTAAAATTACAATTAAATAAGGAAACCCTACCTCTCATAGCGTAAGCCCACATAGTAGAACTCTAAGGAAAGTTCAAATTTAGCTTCTCAAATCTTAGTTCTAGATTTTTGTCTTTGATATTTTTAAAGAAAAATACAATTTTTGGTGTGATTGCGTAACTCTTACCGCGTATAATAACTTTAATTTTTAACTTGAAGCGATTAAATTATTTGATCTTCATAGATCTGAGAAAAAAGATCAATAAGTTTACTTTTTTTTACCTTTTATTTTCTCTTTTTCTCTTTTTCTCTTTTCTCTTTTCTTTCTCTCGATCTGGCCGAATGTGGGAGTGCTGCATAAGTGGAAAGACTTTTGTCTTCCATTTTATATAGGTTTAAATATTTGCCCCCATTGCACCACGTTCAATTTTAACGAGTTCAATTTATCTAAATTATTTAAATTTTATTATATTTTTATTGAATTAATTTTAAATTATTTTTCAGGTCCCGCAAATAAAATCTGATTGCAATTATTTTAGTCGCGCGACACCCAGTCGCTTTATAACACGTGATCTGCTTCAAAATTTTATAAAAATTTATTGGGTAATTAAATTTCGCAGGATAAATTCAATGGTGAGGTCTGTTTCGTAGTCTCAATTCTATAAAAAATTATGTTTTTTACCCGTACTTTAATAATTAATTACTATTTTACCATTTTAATGAAGATTTAAAAGCAAAAAATTTGGGTTTTACAGATTCATTTGGGTACCCTTTTTTTTTTTTTTTTTTTTGTAAATAACACAATTAGTCCTTACACTTTGTTTCTTATTTTAAAATAATTTTTGAACTACCAATTGTCTCATTTTTTAATCTTTCAAAAATTAATTTCATA